ATTTATTTATTTCCCCCAAAGCCCCAGTAGATAGTTGTATGTCATAGTTGCACAGCCTTCTAGTTGCTGTATGTGGGACGCGGCCTCAGCATGGCGGGAGAAGCGGTGCCTCAGTGCGCGCCCGGGATCCGAACCCGGGCCGCCAGCAGCGGAGCGCGCGCACTTAACCGCTGAGCCACGGGGCTGGCCCTTCTCTGTGTTTCTGATTCATTGTTCTCTCAACATAGGCTAGCTGTTTCTGCCTCTCACTCCCAGAGAAAATGGTCACCAGCAATTGTTCTTGAGTTTATAGCTTAGGAAAGAAGGCATTCATTCCCCTCCATTCAGGAACAACCCAGTCTGATTCTAGAATCACAGCTCATATTTCCCCGGAGAAGGTCTCAGTGGCCCAATTGGAGCCATCCAGAGTCCAATCATTTGTAGCCAAGGGGCTAGGGTAGCGTTGTTCTACACACATGGCTGCAAGGAGCCCTACCTCTATAACCATGTGTAAATTGTTGGTGTGGGGAAGGATATTTTCCAGAAAAAAAGCAAGGAGGCAGATGGCTGGGCAGCCATCGAGTAGATGTTTAGGGCATCAATAACCAGTGGCAGAACCAGGACTAAAATCCACAGCCTCTGGTCCAGTAGCAGTCTTTCCTGAGGCTGCCTTGCATGGAGAAACAGGGGTAATTATTTGATCTGGTAACAAGGAGAGACAGACAGACGGACACTCACTGCCTCAGTTCTCATTCCTATTGGGTGAAGAAATAGCTGCCCCTTCCCTGGGAGTCTCGGGGCTGCAGAGCTCTAGCGCCATGACAGCCAAAAGTGGGTTCCCTCTGTATTAGTCCAAACCCTTTCAGTCACAAGTCACAGAAACCCAGATCAAACCAGCTTAAGCAAAAAGGGAATTTATTAGAAGGCCATTGAGGCAGCTTACAGAACTGAAGGAAGGCTAAAGGTTCCAGAACATCTTCAGGCATCTGGTATCAGTACCACCAGGATCTAGACACTTTGTTTTTTTCCCTTTTTTAGTTTTCATCTCTCATCTCTCCTCGTTTCTGCTTGGCTCGGGTACCACAAGGTTCTCTCCACAAGGTGGGGAACGTAGCTGCCAGCAATTCTGGGGTCATATCCTTAAAGCATCTGACCAAAGAGAAAAGAGAGTCTTCCCCTGCTGATTCCAGGCAGAAAAATCTCGGAGAAGCACTCTGGTTGAGAGATGGAGTCCTGTGATTGGCTGGGTCTTGTTCACTTGCTCACCCCTGGGGTCAAGGGAAGGCAGGGGATATTTTAAGAAGGGTCGGTAAAAGCCTCTTTTGTTTCGTGTCTGTCCCCAGGTGACCATGGAGGCAGGTGGCCTCCCCCTGGAGCTGTGGCGCATGATCTTAGCCTACCTGCACCTTCCAGACCTGGGCCGCTGCAGCCTGGTGTGCAGGGCCTGGTATGAACTGATCCTCAGTCTCGACAGCACCCGCTGGCGGCAGCTGTGTCTGGGCTGCACCGAGTGCCGCCACCCCAACTGGCCCAACCAGCCTGATGTGGAGCCTGAGTCTTGGAGGGAGGCCTTCAAGCAGCATTACCTTGCCTCCAAGACGTGGACCAAGAACGCCCTGGACTTGGAGTCCTCCGTCTGCTTCTCCCTATTTCGCCGGAGGAGGGAACGCCGTACCCTGAGTGTCGGGCCGGGCCATGAGTTTGACAGCCTGGGCAGTGCCTTGGCCATGGCCAGCCTGTATGACCGAATCGTGCTGTTCCCAGGTGTGTACGAAGAGCAAGGCGAGATCATCCTGAAGGTGCCTGTGGAGATTGTAGGCCACGGGAAGTTGGGTGAAGTGGCCCTGCTAGCCAGCATTGATCAGCACTGCTCAACCACACGCCTGTGCAACCTCGTCTTCATGCCGGCCTGGTTCTCACCCTTCATGTTTAAGGTGGGTGTCCACATCAGGTGGATGGCCTCTCCAGTCCTGACCCCGGGCCTTGGCCTCCTCTTAGTGGGTTTGGTACCTCTTTTCTGTTGGAATTGAGAGTTTAGTCATTATTCCTATCACACTCTCCTCTCAGTTCTGCACCAGTTGAGAAATAGGCACAGGGATCAGTAGAGATCAACATAGTGCTTTATTCCTCACAAAGCTCTATTAAAAAATGAGCCTTGGATTTGAGACCAAATTGTTTTATACTTCTTCCCTTCCCACCGGACCAACTGGAGCCACAGGCGGAGCAGCTAGGTGGGAAAGCTAGCTTCCGGGAGATGCCACATGTGACAGGAAGCAGAGAATACTCCACGGCCATGCTGGCATGTCCAGAGAGAAGGCCAAAGAGAGGGGAGGCTGTGCAGGAACAATGGCCTTCCGCACCTTAGCCCCACCCTGTGGAGGGTCAAGGAAGGTCAGGCTTTTACCAAGGGTGACAGGCAATGTCAGTCCAACACATTCCTTCTAGGAACACAGAGCAGAAGTTCTGTTCAAAGCAAAGCATGTATTGAGGTGTTGGTAGCTCCTGGCAGAACAGTCTACAGCTATTACTTTACCTAGAAACTGATTGCAATACCTGGCTTATGTACCTAGTCAATAAAAATGATTTGGCGACTATTACTACCAATAACAACTAAATCATCTCTTAGGTTTGTAACGATCATTATGCCACCAGTCATTTATGATGCACTTACTCTGTGCCTGGCACGTGCTTTACAGCTGTTATTAAGATGTGTAGTGTCATCTGGTTTTACAGATAAACTGTAAAACAGACTGAGGCTCAACAATATTAAGTGCCGTGACTGGGACTCAGGCTTAGTAAGGGACAGAGCTGGAACTTTCCTGCCATTATCCATTTCCGTTCTTGTTCCCCTCCCTTTGGGACTGGAAGGAGGGAAGGGCAGGCAGCTCCAAATTATCTTCCTTCTGATGCAGAGCAGCTCCCTGGTTCCTCTTGGGCCAGCTGACACATGCCCTGGTGGGGAAGGGAACACAGTCCGCAGGAAAGATGGCCTCTCTATGCTCCACCCCCCTTACAGAGCAGTTAGAGTACCAACTGACAAAACACATCTTATCCCTGTCATATCCACTCTCTCTCTTTCACTCCCCAGACAACATCAGGTCATGTCCAGTTTGACAACTGCAACTTTGAGAATGGGCACATTCAGGTCCACGGCCCGGGCACCTGCCAAGTGAAGTTTTGCACCTTCAAAAACACTCATGTCTTCCTGCACAACGTGCCCCTGTGTGTCCTAGAAAACTGTGAATTTGTGGGCAGTGAAAACAACTCTGTGACTGTTGAGGGCCACCCGTCCGCAGACAAGAACTGGGCCTACAAGTATCTCCTAGGGCTTATCAAGTCCTCTCCCAGTGTGCTCCCCACGGAGGACTCTGACTCTTTAATGTCCCTGGACCTGGAAAGCAGGGACCAGGCCTGGAGCCCAAGGACCTGTGACATTGTCATTGAGGGCAGTCAGAGCCCTACCAGCCCAGTCTCTAGCTCCCCAAAGCCAGGCTCCAAGACTGGCTCACAGGAGGCAGAGGTGGGTAGCGATGGGGAAAGGGTGGCCCAGACCCCAGATAGCAGCGATGGAGGACTGAGTCCCGGTGGTGAGGATGAGGACGAGGACCAGCTCACGTACAGACTGTCCTACCAAGTGCAGGGCCCGCGGCCTGTCCTGGGGGGCTCCTTTCTGGGCCCACCACTGCCGGGAGCATCCATTCAGCTGCCCAGCTGCCTCGTGCTGAACTCACTGCAGCAGGAGCTACAGAGGGACAAGGAGGCCATGGCGCTGGCCAGCTCCATTCAGGGCTGCCTCATCCGCAAGTGCCTCTTCCGGGATGGGAAGGGAGGCGTCTTCGTTTGCTCCTATGGCCGAGCCAAGATGGAGGGAAACATCTTCCGGAACCTGACTTATGCAGTGCGCTGCATACATAATAGCAAGGTGCTGTCATAAGGCTTACTCTGCAGATCCATGAGGCCTCACTGGGTCACCAGGAACATGATTCTTGATTGGGGAGAGGGCTCCTGTGGCTACATGCAGAAAGGCTTTGATGGGGCAGTTTTGCATTTTTTTAATAATCATCTTTTTTTTAAACTTACAATGCACACTTGCCTCATGTCCATCATCTGGTTTGGACAGGGCAGAAACTGTTCTTCCCATTTTACAGAAGAGGAAACAGGCCCAGAGAGGGAAGGTGACTTACTCAGGGTTATACAGCAAGTTAAAGGCAGAACTGGGACTGCAACGCAGGTCTTCCACCTCCTTTCACTATGTCATGCTGGCTTCTCAAACATGTCACCAAAGTGCTAGTAGGAGGAACGAGGGCTCTTTAGCCTGAATGAGAGGAAATTCAGGGAGACGTGATCATTGCCTTCGATCCAAACTTGAGAAGGCTTCCTAGAAGAGATGTCTCAGCTGAGTAGGATGAGTAGAGGATAGCCAAGGAGAATGGATGCACACGGTGGAAAGGGGGTACAGAGCGAGGGGGTTCCAGGCAGCCGGAACATCCTCTGCTAGGGCCTGGGTGTGAGGATGAATTCAACAGTGTGGTGGGGGGGGGGGTTGAAAAACGAGGCTGGGGAGGTGAGCAGAAGCCACCTTGCCCTGGGCCTGGAAAGCCCTGTTGAGACGTTTGGACTTGATGCTGAGAGCAGTCTGTCCAACCACTGATGCGATCAGCACCCTGCACGTGCAGGCCCTTTGGGACACTGCAGGACAGTCTGCAGATCCTGCACACAGCTGAGGACAGGAAAAGCTTCAAAAAGGAAAGACATGGCCTTTTGGAAGAAAACATGGCATAGCACCTGGCTTTGAGTCTCACCTCTCCACTGATTCACTGTGAACATGACCTTCCTCTTCTGTGAAATGGGAATATGCATTCCTGCCTCACCTCTCTCACTGGGGGTTTGTGAGGGTCCAGTGCCAGAATATTGACAAAAGCACTTAGCAAACTGAAGGGCATTGGACAAATGTCACACGTGGGTCTTGCAGGTCTCTGAAGGCTTCTGGAGTGGTTAATAGCAATTGCATATTAATTGTATTCTATCCAGCCCACTTCCAAAGAGGATTTTAGGTGGCATTACCCTGAAAGCACAATATCAGACTGTACTATAAACAGAATAAAAGATAATGGCCAAATAAAAGGGAGGGTGATAGCTTTGCCTCAGGGGTACCACCATGAAAGGATCTGGTCCGAGCCCTCGAGGAGGGCTTTCCTCCTCGCATAGTTACTAAGAGGGTGGCTTCTGAGTCAGATGCTGGCCCTGTCCCTTATTAGCTATGTGTCCTTTGGAATAAGGATACTACCTATCTCCAGGGTGTGGGAAGGATTAACTAAGGGCATACATGTATATACATATATATATATATATATATGGTGCTTAACAGTGTGTCTCGTGCAAAGCAAGTGCTCAATAAATGTTTTTTTTTTTTTTTCTTAAAAAAAGACTCTGACAGTCCAGTGTCAAAGGTGCTGTGATAGAGGTAAGCTATGGGTGGCATAGGAGCCCAGAATAGGGAGCACCTGACCTGGCCTCAAGGAAAGGCTTCCTGGAGGAACAGTGCCTGGGCCAGGCTGTCCAGGAGGAGTAGGAGTTGGCAGAGTAAAGCTGTGAGGCAACAGAGGCGTGCATGAGGTCCAGAAGGCAGAGAGGACACAGCACATTCAGGGAGTTACAAGTAACTCAGACAGCCAGAGCAGGAGGTGAGGGCTGCCAGAGGAGACAGGGAGGGAGTCAGCAGGAGTCAGCTGGCTGAGGCTTAGAGGTCTTGCCAGGGAGATTGGAGTTGCCTTGAGGGCCATGGGAACTCACTGAAAGATTTTAAGCAGAGGAGAACTGTGGTCAGATCTGCCTTTGGAAAGCTCATTCTGTCAGCTTTGTAGGGAATGGAATGGAGGGAACAAAGCTAGAGGCAAGATCATTGAGGGGCAGTGGATAATTATGGTGGGAGATGGAGAGGAGGGGACAGGGCAGTCTGGAGAGGAGAGGAGGGCTTGAGGAGGGAGTAGTCGAGGGTGTGGCCTAGATTTCTGGCCTGAGTGGCTGAGGCAATGGCAGTGTCGGGGGGGAAGAGGGAGAATCTCCCTCTGCCCTTTCCCTTAAGGTTCTTCTGGCTGGCCAAACAATCAACAAGACAGGTTAGCAGGAGAAAATAATACCAAGTTTAATAACATGTATACATGGGAGAAGCTCAGAAATGAGCAACTCGTCCCTCTGTCTAAGCTGCTTGCT